ATTAAATGTATATCCCAAAATTTTTCTTTATTTTTTAATCACATATTCTCTATCAATCTACTATACTAAAATGCATTTTTCTAAAAAAGAATAGGAAACAAACAGGCTCTATATTCTCTTTTTCCGTGTTTATTTCTATGTGCTAATCATCTTTTTGTTCTCGACTCATTTGATTTTTATAGATCATTGTTGCTCATCCTTGCCATTATAGAATTCCCTTCTTATAGCTTTTATATATTTATTTTATTTTACTTTGATCTGTACACTATTTTAAGTTTTTTTTATTGATAAACAGCCACTTTTTTTTTTTTTGGTGCTATTTTTGAGTTATTATTACGATTAAATAGTGCAAATATTGTTTTCATTTAAATAAAATATGAAAGGGTTGCAATTGTTCTATTTGACGAGGGTGGGTAACAGTGGGTGGAGCCTAATGAGGACTAGGGTGGGCACAGGCCCACCCTAAACTTCTGGGCTCAACCCTATGTCATAATAATTTATTTTTTTTAAGTAATGGGCTAACTTTCAGTCCAAGAGGAGTGAAGCCCGATCCCAAAAAATTTAAAAGGGAGTGAACTGTAAAGCCCTCGCGTCCAACGTCTCCTCCGCCTCTAGCCCTCTGCCTGTATCCAACGTCTGCGTCACCTCCAGCTCCAGGCTTCAGCCTTCAGCACTCAACACCGCAGCACGCCAGCACCTACAGTAAGTCTGTAGCTTTTTTTCTTTCTCTTTGATATATATTTTGTGTATGAAGTCTGAAGAAATCAAGAAATCGATTGTTATTTGTTGGTAAAAAAAGGTAATGGTCTCGAAGAGAGGTGGGTTCTTCTCTAAATAAGGTATTGTGCTGCGGGCTGCTGACCTCTATGACTCTGTTGTTAGGTTTCTTCGAAATTGTTGCAGAAAATGAAAATTTTCAGAATTGACTTGCTAAAGAGAAGAACGGAATATAATAATCTAAACGAGTATGAACCAAAAGCATTAAACGAGCAAAACATAAAACTTAAAACACCTGCAGAATTCGGAATGAGGATGATCGAGGTGAGAACTAGGCTCTGTCTTTAAAACGTTTTTACCCTGTCACACAGTGCTTACGGTATGTGGTAAAGCATCTCCTATGATACAACGATCGAACACTTGCAGAATCAGCACTTCGACTGTAAGACAGCGAACCAGTGTCGGAACTACACTCTGTAGACTTATGCAGAAAATGAAACAGAAGACTGTATGTATACAGAATGAACTCGTGTATTTTCTGTGTTTGTTGTTGTATCGAAATGAAAGCCTGAGAATCCTTTAAATAGAGGAAAGAGTTGACGGTTGAGCCTTATACAACTCCCCACTTTGAGCAGTTTCACCACTCATGCCCACTTAACTCGCGATTGAGCAGTTAAGACGACCACTTAACTCACCGTTTTAATAAACTGATGGTTCGGTTAATAAACCGTGAAAATGAAGGGAATTAATTGAATTCAGATAAAAATTTATATAAATTTTATCCAAAAAATTAATATTGACATGGGCCCAAGCCCAGGCCCCCGACCCGAGCTCGTGTTCGTGCCGTGCCGAGTAGGCCGGTCGGACGGACGGCGGCGCGCGTGTGGCCTTTGGTTAGTCTAGACATTGTCTAAGAATTCCCCCTTTCAAAAACTATTGGTACTTCCAAACTTGAAGTTTATTAAGTGGTTCAAGGTTGTGTTTGCAACCTATGTAGGATTGGAACAGTTTTCCAATTCTTTGCCATTATTCCTCTTATTTATTGTCCAACTGTCAACCATGATTTCTCATTCATATTAAAATGGTTTTTCACAATTAAATATTCTACACTCATCTACTCCGAATGTAGAATTTAATCGAACATTTATTTCGACAATTCGAACATTGGGTCCCAACAAATTTATGGTCAAAGTTGACCCACTTGGCACCATTTCCAACAATCCCCCACATGGATGAAAATTATTATGACTATGCAATGCAGACAGGAACAGAGAGTACAAGCGAAAGACTTATTGCATCAGGAGAGGTAGCTTTTGGCTTTGAACCTGCCTTAGTGGAATACTATCGAGTTTACTTGGCTAATCAGTGAATTGTTGTCTTGAACTGTTCGGCTGTTGGTGTAAACCAAGGCAACAGTATCCACACAATAACATTTCTATCCAATTCTTAGGTTCTCATAGTTGTGTTCATTTTGGCCATGAACAATTCTTGGGATTCATAGGTGCTTTAGAGAATTTTAAGCCCCAAATTCTCATAGAAGCGGCCCCACTCTGCTGCATTCCACTTGGTTTATCCAAGTTATAGGAATCATTAAAAGTTACAACTTAACCTTTTACCATTTGCAGACAGCAATTTTTTTTTTTATAAAGGAATGGTTAAGTGCTTAACCGAGTCTTAATAATTTAGTTTTCCCATTGAACCAAGATTTTGGGATCTCCAATCAACAAGGTTGGGTTACCATCATTAAGATTCATGCATGTTCGGCTTTAATCTCATTCCCTTTGATAGATAATATACTTGATCTCTTGGTAGGTCTTTTGTAAGCGGATCCGCAAGATTCTCCCTTGATCTCACATAATCAATGGAGATAATACCGTTTGAGATCAACTGTTTTATGGTATTGTGTCTACGACGTATATGTCTAGACTTACCATTACACATGCAATTTTATGCCCTTGCAATAGCTGACTGATTGTCACAGTGATACTAATTGCAGGCACTGGCTTAGGCCAACACGGAATATCCTCTAAGAAGTTACGAAGCCATTCTGTTTCTTCTCCAGCTTCATCTAAAGCTATAAACTCCAATTCCATTGTTGATCGGGGCTATACAAGTTTGCTTTGAGGATTTTCAAGACACAGCCGCACCACCAAGTGTAAATATATTACCACTTGTGGATTCAGAATTTTTCATATCAGATATCCAATTTGCATCACAGTATCCTTCTAATACTGCTGGATATCTCATATAATGTAATCCAAATTTTAAGGTATGTTTTAAATATCGAAATACCCTATTCAATGCTTTCTAGTGATCCTTGCTTGGATTACATGTGAACCTACTCAATTTATTAACTGCGAACGCAATATCAGGACGTGTGCAGTTCATTAATACATCAAACTCCCAATTACCTAAGAATATCTTAATTGATGTACCGGTTCACCTCTATTTTTTGCTAAGTGTAGACTCGTGTCTACTGGAGTTTTGAATGGACTTTCATCAAAGACTCCAAATCTCTTTAGCACAGACTCAACATAATGAGATTATGAAAGAACGAGGCCATCTGGTGTTTTAGAAACTTTAATTCCAAGAATTACATCTGCTACACCCATGTCCTTCGTCTCAAAATATTTTGTTAGCATTTTCTTAGTAGACACAATGATATTATGATTGCTACCTAGAATTAGCATATCATCCACATATAAACATACTAAGACATATGCTGTTGATATACTTTTATTATACACACATTTGTCACACTCGTTAATCTTAAACCCATCTGACAACATTGTTTTGTCAAACTTTTGGTGCCACGGTTTTGGCGCCTGTTTTAATCCATATAAAAATTTAACGAGTTTGCAAACTTTTTTCTCTTGTCGATGAGCGACAAATCCTTCAGGTTGCTTCATGTATATTTCTTCTTCCAACTCACCATTTAGAAAAGCTGTTTTAACATCCATTTGATGAATTTTGAGGTTATGTATCGCAGCAATTGCAATAAGGATTCTTATCGACGTAATCCTTGTTACTGGTGAGTAAGTATCAAAGAAATCAAGACCTTCCTTTTGTCTATATCTTTTTGCTACCAAACGTGCCTTGTATTTATCAATAGATCCATCTGATTTTGACTTTTTCTTGAAAATCTACTTACAACCTAAAGGTTTATTTCCAGGTGGGAGATCAACCAATTTCCAAGTATGATTTTGCATTATCGATTCAATTTCACTATTGATAGCTTATTTCCAAAAAGGAGCCTCTGGTGTTGACATTGCTTCAATGAATGTTTTTGGTTCATTTTCGATCATGTACGTTAGAAATTCTGAACCGAAGGATGTAGACCTTCTAATCCTTTTACTGCGTTTGAGTTCTTCTTCATTTTCATCATCATTTGCAATATCGTAAGTTCATTTTGTTGAACTTACATCACTTTTGTCTTTACGAGGAAAGACATCTTCGAAAAAATTTGCATTCCTTGATTCAATTATTGTGTCTTCATGTATATCCGGAATCTCGGATTTATGTACAAGGAAACGAAATGAACTACTGTTATGAGCATATCCAATATATATGCAATCTACAGTTTTTGGTCCTAGTTTTATTTGTTTAGGTTTTGGCACTTCTACCTTTGCCAAACACCCCTACACTTTCAAGTATTTATATGAAAGTTTATGACCTTTTCATAACTCGTATGGTGTTTCATCCTTTACTTTGTGTGATATTTTGTTAAGAATGTGATTTGCCGAGAGGATAGCCTCCCCCCCCCAACAAATTATGTGGTAGACCAGAACTAATCAACATAGCATTCATCATTTCTTTAAGCGTGCGATTCTTTCGTTCCGCAATACCATTCGATTAAGGTGAGTAAGGAGCCGTTGTTTGATGAATGATGCTTTGTTGAGAACAAAATTTTTCAAACGGCGCTCCATATTCTCCACCTCTATCACTTCGAACAATTTTTATTGTTTTGCTAAGTTGATTTTTCACTTCATTCTTATAATGTTTAAACATTTCCAAAGTCTCATCTTTGATTTTTAACAAATAAACATAACAGTACCAAGTGCAATCGTCAATGAAAGTAATGAAATACTTTTTCCCACCTTTAGTTTGTATGAATTTCAAGTCACATATATCGCTGTGAATTAATTCTAAAGGTAACGTATTTTTATCAATCGAAGGAAATTGTCTTTTGGCTACCTTAGCCTCAACACAAGTTTCACATAAACGATTTCCCACTACCAGACGATTTGGGATTGAGATGGGGTACCAATGTCTGATCCCAAGGAATGTCGCGTTTTAGGTTGCTGTCGCGTCTGGGGTTGTTCCTCTCTCTAGGCCTTCAGCAGATGATTTTCCTTTTTAAGGAAGAAGGGGAATTTCAAGAAGGCCTTCTTTCTTCTCGGTCTGCTTTGGCTCCTGATCTTGAGCTCACCGTTCTTGGCCGCAGACTTGGCTTCTTCTTGGAGTCCTTGCCTTTTCGATACTTTAGGTCCCTGCCCTTGTCCTGGTCTCGACTCCCCTTTCAATCTAGCAGGCTGGTCAATTCATTCTTCGACGCACTCCCGCCTCGTGTTTTTGACAGAGTATTGTGCCATACTTCGAAAATGAGACGGTTCGAAGGAACTCTAAGTCATTTGGTGATTACGATCGAAACTTAAAGAAGGTAGCAAATTTAAGTTCATTAATTTGCGTACAAATTTAAAGTTTGCATGTCCTAATCTTTTATGTCATAAACAAGAAGAATCAACAATATATGCAGAAGTAGAAGCTTTATTAATCTTGTTCAACTTAGGTACAATAGTAAGGACGTTCATCTTGAACATTCCATCAGTCATGTAACCTTTCCCAACGTACATTCCATTTTTATTTAGTACAAATTTGTTAAATACAAATACTAACTTAAACCCATTCTTGCTAAGAAGGGAACCAGAAACAAGATTTTTTCTAATGTCCGGCACATGCAGCACATTGTTGAGGACGAGTTCCTTGCCAGATGTCATTTTCAAGGTTACCTTTCCTTGTCCTTCAACCTTTGAGCTTGAGGAATTTCCCATGAACAGTTGTTCTCTGTCGATAGGTTTGTAATCAGAAAACACATTTTTTTCAGCACAAATGTGGCGAGTGGCACCAGTGTCCACCCACCATTCCTTGGGATTTCCAACACTATTACATTCAGATATTACAGCAGATAAGTGCATTTCTTGAACACCTTCAGTCAGATTTTCAGTTTCAACCATATGTGCACGGTCATTTTGCTTTTTAGGCTTGCGACAATTGATTGCACGTTGTCCAGGTTTGCCACAGTTGAAGCAGTCCCCTTTGAACTTCTTGTTCTTCTGGCTGTTTTCATTTTTCTTCGGAGCAAAGTTTGAGTGCTTCCTTTTCATGTTCTTTTTTGAACTTGATTCAGCCATATTTGCCTTAACTTCCATGCTTGTGCCCCTGTTCCTACTTTCAGATTTCTTAGTATCTTCTTCGATCCTCAAACGTACAATCAGCTCCTCTATGTTCATTTTCTTGCGTTTGTGTTTGAGGTAATTTTTGAAATCTCTCCATGAGGGCGGGAGTTTTTCAATTACTGCTACTACTTGGAATGACTCACTTACAGTTATTTTTTCAGCATGTAAATCATGGAGGAGTACCTGCAAATCTTGAACCTGGGAAATAACATATTTAGAGTCAACCATTTTATAATCCAAAAATTTTTCGATAAGAATTTTTTTAGATCCGGCATCTTCAGTTTTATATTTTTTCTCTAAAGATTCCCATAGTTTTTTTGCAGTTTTCATTACGCTATATATACCATATAGTGAATCATTAAGTCCATTCAGTACATAATTCTTGCATAAGAAATCAGAATGTTTCCATGCATCCAAGGTAATAACCGAAGCTCGATTATTTTCTCCTTGTTGAACGGAATGAGGATCCTCTATGAGAAACTTTGTCAGGTTCAGAGTGATGAGATGGAACAGCATCTTCTGCTGTCATCTCTTAAAATCGATCCCATTAAATTTTTCAGGCTTCTTTCCGTGAGGAACATGAGTCGAAGCAAGATGACCAGCCATAGGTGGCGTCCTAATAGGGGTCACAACCACAGTAGGGGGAATTGCATTGGTCCCAATAGTGTTAGCTATTTCTGTTTTCAAACAGAAGATCAACAAGTCAGTATTTTCTAATTAAAATTCTGCAGAACATTAATATCGCATAATGGTCTCTGCAAATGTTAGAAATAAGCAAGTACAATTTTGGAAAAGTATTTAATAATAATAATATACATTTAAAAAGCGTCTTAAGATTGTTGGGTTTCTTTGAAATTGTTGTAGAAAATGAAAATTTCCAGAATTGACTTGCTAAAGAGAAGAACGGAATATAATAATCTAAACGAGTATGAACAGAAAGCATTAAACAAGCAAAACATAAAACTTAAAACAACTGCAGAATTCGGAATGAGGATGATCGAGGCGAGAACTGGGCTCTCTGTCCTTAAGACGTTTTTACCCTGTCACACGGTGTTTACGGTAAGTGGTAAAGCGTCTCCCAAGATACAACGATCGAACACTCGCAGAATCAACACTTCGACTGTAAGACAGCGAACCAGTGTCGGAAGTACTCTCTGTAGACTAATGCAGAAAATGAAACAAAAGACTGTATGTATGCAGAATGAACTCGTGTATTTTCTATGTTTGTTGGTGTATCGAAATGAAAGCCCAAGGATCCTTTAAATAGAGGAAAGAGTTGACGGTTGTGTCTTGTACCGTGAAAAGGAAGGGAATTAATTGAATTCAGAAAATAAATTTTATCCAAAAAATTAATATTGACACGGGCCCAAGCCCAAGTCCAAGCCCACGACCCGAGCCGGCCGATCGAACGGTGGCGGCGAGCGCGCGTGTGGCATTTGGTTAGTCTAGACATTGTCTAAGATTCCCCCATTTCAAAGACTATTGGTACCCCTTGAGCTCAAACCCATTTCCAAATTTGAAGTTTATTAAGTGGTTCAAGGTTGTGTTTGCAACCTATGTGGGATTGGAATACTTTTCCAATTCTTTCTCATTTATTCCTCGTATTTATTATCCGACTTTCAACCTTAATTTCTCATTCATATTGAAATGGTTTTTCACAAGTAAATATTCTACACTTTTTCCATTTCTTTCCAATTTATTCCTCTTATTTATTGTTCAACTTTCAACCATAATTTTTCATTCCTATTGAAATGGTTTTTCACAATTAAATATTTTACATTCATCTACTCGGAACGTAGAATTTAATTGAATATTTATTTCGACAATTCGAATATTGGGTCCTACCAAAATTTGTGGTCAAAGTTGACCCACTTGGCACCATTTCCAACATCCGTCTCACTGTCCGACTCTCGAAACTATAGAAAACATGGGGGTTTTTGTGTGGTGGAGACTAAATTGGAGTCAGCATTTGATAGGTTGAGTTATATAGAAAACATGGGGGTTTCTGTCTCACTGGCTGCTTATAGAATTGAATAATTGAGAACCCATTTGATAACTGGACTCGAATATCTTCAAACTTGAAAGTGCTGCCTTTATGTAATTAGTTAGTATTTAGCATAGTACTATAATTTATATTTGACGTATTTGAAAATTAATTGGTGGTTTGAAGTTCATCACTCGAGCTTTACAATCTAGATTTTCAGTATGTTGGAGCAAACTGTCTATTTTAGAGTGTAAATGAAGGTAAGAAAATAGTGTATGATAATAATCGTAACTAAGAATGAGACAAGAAAATCCATCCTGGACGAAGTATGAGGACTTCCTTGAAATAAGCCTCAATGCACTTGGCTGGTCGTTGAATTCTGAAACTAAAAAGAAACAGACTTACATGCGAGAAATTGCCCCAATTGCAACTGTCACGATATAATTTAATCATCCCAACACTGAATATTGGTTGGGAAATTTAATCATCCCAAAGGAGTTCTTGTTGGCAGGACAGGAAGTGGTTGGGAATATTTTTCTTCAGTCAAATGCAGGTCTAGAATGAGATGGCTAAATCTACTCTATGGACAATCAAATAGAAGGGGGGGGGGGGGGGGGGGTTTATCATTAATTTCACCAACATATGTGAGTGATCTAAAAGTAAATAATAATAGCAAAACATAGAAGGATTTCACTTTGGTTGATATGTATGTGAATGTGGAGTTGTTGGGGCATGCTTTGAAAGTTTTCTATGGAAGTACTGAGAGAAATAAGGCTGAGAGTGTTCTTTTATGGAATGTGATAATTAATGGATGTTGCAAAAATAGGGAGTTGAAGAAGGCATTAGAATTGTTCGAGGTGATGCCACAGAGAAATATTGGGTCTTGGAATAGCACGATTAATGGGTTGATGAGAAATGGAGAGGACCGAGAGGTGGAATGTGGTTTCTTGTACAACAATTGTTCGATGCATGAAAAGGCATTAGAGATGTTTACGAAGATGGTGAAAAAGGAGATGTCACTAAACGAGCATTGTAAATAATAAATTGCGTAATCGGACGGGTGATCAGTAGATGAATGATAGCATAATTGTTTATGTAGAGAAAGATGTATTTTTGAAACTCGATAATGAAGTTATTGTACAACGATATCAAAGTATGAAAACTCGAAATGAACAAATGTAATTTATAAAGTATGTCATTTTTAGTATTGTTGTAATATTATTTTATATTTTTGGAATCATTAAATCCATAATAAAAAACACGACGTTCAATATCGATAAATTGTGCCCACACTGAGTTACTATTCTGGCTCTGTCGCCGACAGTGATAAAAGAGTTCTTCAAAAGGCAGGCCAATAACAACTTGAATAAAAAATATATAGTCAGTGGAGATGTCAAAAGTAAATTGATATTGCCTTTTGCTTTACATTAGTCGAAATCAGCGTGCCTTCCACATTATTTTGGATTATTTTAAATGTTATAAAAATGTTTATTTTTTAAATAACGTAATCTAACGTGTATATTATATTAATAAAGTGAAATTAAATCAACATAAAAAGTATGAACATATTATTATTATTATTATTTTTTTTGAGAATGTATGATTGAAAAATAAGAAAAAGTTTTTGGATCATGTGTAATATTATTTTACTGGAGAGTGTGTGGTTAAAAAGAAAATAGAGAACAAAGTATTATAAATTTAATAGGCGCCACACGGGGGCGAAGTTAAGAACTGAAATTCAACAAACCACTGTCATACAACTTAAAAATGTTAAGTTTGGTTTTATAAAAATCAATCTTTTAGTATATTGTAATAAAATTTCATGAAATGTGTATTTGAAAAATTGATAAAAGTTATGAGTTATATAAAATGTATGGTCGAAAATGAATTTTAAAAAATGAAGGCCAAACAGATGAAATATGCATAACTCACTCTTCAACTCGAACTCGACCATTTCCCACAAAAACTCTCCTCTTCCGAGTTGGCTTCTACATTTGAAATTGTGATACTGCAATGGCTTTAGCCCTTGGATTCAAAAGGAATAATGTTATTTATAGTGAAAACTATTTGTAGTCATCATACGTGACATACATGTGATATTTTATTATTTGATATATGAGGCAATAAAAACTATCATATTAATACATCAAATAACAAACTGACACATGTATGCCGCATATAATGACTATCGATAGTTTTCACTATGAATAACATTATTTATTTGAGAATTCTACTCCTTCAAATATACACTACTCACCTTTATACAATTAATACCTCAAGTTCGGCCATTGATATCTTGAATTGGCTTTCTAGGAAATGTATGGGAGCAATTAACAGTATTTTCAAAGAACTCTTTATTTATAAAGAATATCTTATATATAAAGTTGTCAATTGATTGAATTTTGATCTGAATCTGATAAAATTAATGGAAGATGGATTTAGAGTCTCAGTTCGATAATTGATCAAGATCCGAATCGATAATTCGTTAACTAAATAGATCAAATATGAATATAAGTTAATCCAATCCAATAACAACTCGATAATCTTCGCTAACTAAACTTATCAAATGTATCCTTAAAAATAAAAGAAGGCAGTGAGTTTGACACTACAAATATATATTATTTTTGATACTTTCACACGAGATTGTACAATTTTCTATGCTCTTTCTTGAAATGAAACAAGTAAATAAAATGATGAGAAAAGTTTGATCATAATTATTTATGGGAATTAGCAAAATAAAGAGTAATTGAACTATTCATTCTTTATTTAAAAAAATAAAAATAAAATTCAAGATGCACTTTATATCTCGACACACGCGCTTTAAAATAAAAAAATATTGTTGGAGATGCTCAAAAAGTTCATTTAGTGGTTTTTTTTTTTCCAATTATTTTGAATTTTCGGGTATTAAATTTTGGATAAGAACGGTATTGAATGGTAAGAAGAAAGTAAATGAATAAAAAGAATAATATTATTTAACATCAGTGATACTGAGTGTAAGTACGCGACATGTCATAAACAGAAAAAAACAAATGGGCACAAATTGGGTTCAAAAATAGCATTTTGGTATTGCTAACTTATTTAGATTTTTGATATTTGTTATTATTTCGAACATCTGAAATTTTATAAATTTAATAATTTATTTACGATTATTGAAATACCAAAAATTCAACTGTTTATACAGTTAAATCACACAGTATTTTATGATTTATTTCTTTTTTATCGTGAATAAAGTTTTTCATTTTTTAACATGTTATGAATTGTAATTTTTTATTATTACCTTTTAGTTTAATTTTTTCGTAATTAATGATCTTTCTTTAATTTAATTTCCTTCAACTATCTATTCAAATTCTAACAAGCAATTTTAAAGATCTCATAAAAATTTCAACTCGCATTTAATTCTATTTTATCTATATTTTTAGAGAAATGCTATTCATCTCTACTGGGGATGCATCTCCAGTCTATGTGGTATTAAATGATAGGTGAAATTAAATAAGTCATTTAATTTCACTTATCATTTAACCAATCATTTACATCCACATAGATTGAAAATGCATCCCCACTGGGGACGAATAGCACTTTTCATATTTTTACCATGGGCATTTTGTTTAAAAAAGGAAAAATAAAAAATAAAAGAATTTCCAGCAAAATGTAATGTTAGAAAAAATTGCAGTTTCAGTCCCTAAACGTTTATAAATAAAGCACATATATCCATAATAAACTTTTTTTTTTTTTTTGTAAAGCGTGGACAAACATCTCCGCGGCGGGCCGCGGCACTCCGCATCAACCGCGAATTTGGATTTTTTTGCTCTCTCTCTCTTAAACTTTTCTTCCCCTTTCAAAACCGCTCTTTCAACTCTGCCTTTATCTTCCACTCGCCTCTTCTCACTCTTCTCATTTTCCCCTCAAAAACTCCGCCTGTACAATGCTTAACCCTTGAAAAATATCTCAATTTTCCTTTTCACTCTCAACTCGCAATTTTTGGTTGAACAATTGTCAAGATTTGGTACATTTCACGCTTCCGTCTCCGATCGGTAGTTTCTCTCTGCAATTTGTTCCTACAGCTTATGTTATTTTATTTAATTTTCTTTTCGAGTTTTTTTTTTGTTGAATTATCATCAAATTCTGAGGTTTTTTGTGCGATCAAGTTGATTATTTTGGTCAAATTGTGTATTTGTATTCTCGATTTTGGATTTTGAAATTCTTTGTGTTTGAAGTAGAGTTACTGGCAAGATGATAATGTTACGACGTGAGAGAAGTAGTCAAAAATGGATGTGACGCCTTAACTCCCCTCCCCTGCGGCCAAAGAAAAAGAAATAATAAATAATAAATAAAAATATAGAGAGAAAATACTTGATGTTATTGAATTGATAGTTTTTTCATTTGTTGCTGTCTTAATTATTAGCAAAGTGCGAAATACTGCCTAGTTACATTTACTGAATGGGGTTGTCAAGGTTCTAAAGATGCATCCAAAAAGATTGAATTGATACTGAGGTGTTAAAATAAATTGAAAATAAATAAATATTCAACGCAGTTTTGATTCTCTTCTGCTGTTAAATATTTGTTGGCAACACCGGCATGTGAACGTCAGTTTTTGGTTCTTTTGTTTTTTTTTTTTCTTTAATTTTTTGACCAAGATGTAACTGGGAAGAAGTGATAGGCATATAATTGTGGGAGGAATCATAGAAGATGTGTGAGCTGTGACAGTTGTTCCTGTTAATGATGTTCTTGAGCATGTGATTTTTGTTGCTTCCGAAGTAAGTAGCGATATTCTGGCAAGCCGACAACTTCACCTTTCAAAAGACTGCTAGCCCCCACTAGCACTGTTAATAGTTTGGACTTAGATTATAGTAGCTTTGTTTGACTGTCTTAATACAAGCTTTGAGAGGGCCAGGGACTTAAACTCATTATTCATTAGTCCATAGACTATTTATTTATCTTCTTTTTATTGTGTTTTAAAATTTTTTTCTGTCCTTTTATTGTATTTCTCTCCCTTTTCCATTTGAACGCATGCACGCACATGCTTAGAAGCATGTAGCTATGCTCCAATGTCTTCATTTGGACTTCTTTGTGTTGCTTTATGCTTTTTGTTAATAATATATTTGCTACAAAAATTCTTAACACAAGAAAAATTGTCTGTACTTACTATTGAATCTACTTAAATGTAGGACATCTTTAAAATTTTCTGCTGATTACTTTGCCACATTGGTTTTAATCGTGTTATGGGTATTGTGAGGTGGTGAAAAAGTATTGAATACCTTTTGGATAACATATCAGATATCTATTAATTTTCTTATGTAGAAGGACTTTAATATTGTCTTTTTTTTTGGGCCTGAGCAGCTTTTGAAATGGTTAGGAACAACATAGTTAAAATCAACTAATACAAGAATGATTTAACGAGCTAGTTGACCAAGTATTAATGCTTGAATAGTCATTTGATATCATTTACACCTTTTTAATTATCATAAAAATAATTAAAGATGTAGGATTATCATACATGCGTCTTTATGATCCTATGCTTCATTAGTTTCCTAGTTAAGATGGTTCATCTAGACACTTTTTAAGGAAAAAGAACTTGAGACGGAGGGGTAATTTTTTTTTTTTTTTTAATATGTTGACTATCCTGTTGTTGTCACCTTCTGCCTTTTTCCCATTCAGTTCTCCTTGCGGTGCTCTAGTTTAGCAGTGAAGTTGTTGGACACATTCCACACATTCAAGTTTGTTACAATTGCAGGCTCGTTGATATTTTGCTTAGGAAATCAATATCTTGCTATTTAGCATCTTTTATATACTTTCCAGCAGCTTGTGCTTTAAATTTTTTCACCTGGGTGTCATAATTTTATTGATTTATATTTCTTGATAGACGAGGGATCTAGTGAAATCAATTGTCATGTCTTTAAAATCAAATCAACAAAGTCATCTTCATTCTTTCTTTTGTAGATCTAGTGAAATCAATTGTCTTCATGTCTTTAAAATCAAATCAACAAAGTCATCTTCATTCTTTCTTTTGTAATAAAATATTAATGCCCAAACATGCAGAGTATAAGTAGTTCTTAATTCTATCATTTTTGTTGCAAATGAATTAGCAGTTCCTTGTTCTCTTAAATGATTATATATTGATTAAATTGTATATTACTAGTCCTTTTTTTTTTTGCTCTATGCTCCTTTCATTATTTGACATTTACCTGTCCGCTCCTCTAGCAGATTGATGGTTTAGGATTCCATTCCATTGCATCCACATTTATTATTTCAGGAGTTATATGTTCAGTTGCTGAGTTTACTTAGCCCCTTTATATGTTCCTTCTGTTTTCAGGCCACTTGCTTTGGCAAGATCTGGTTGTGTGGAATTTGTTTCTACTCAGCATCTTCATACCTTTTTAGGACTTCTTATTCGGTCATGGCTGCTGGCTCTGATGTTGGCCTTTCTAATGGAAAAGTTAATGACCATGTTGATCCTCAGAGGACTTACCAAGTTGTTGTTGCTGCAACTCAAAATATGGGTATTGGTAAGAATGGGAAAGTTCCATGGAGATTGCATTTTGATCTCAAGTTTTTCAAAGATGTTACTGTGACTACCTCAGATTCATCGAAGAAGAATGCTGTTATAATGGGACGAAAAACTTGGGAAAGTATTCCCCTCGAGCATCGTCCTCTTCCAGGTCGGCTCAATGTAGTCCTGACACGTTCAGGGAGTTTTGATATTGCAACTGCTGAGAATGTTGTGATGTGCGGAAGCATGAATTCTGCTTTGGAACTGTTAGCGGGATCTCCTTATTGCCTGTCAATCGAAAAAGTGTTTGTTATAGGGGGTGGAGAAATTCTAAAGTGAGTGAATCTGTTTGTTTACTATGGTCAAGCTTATTTTTGCCTCAAAGTTGGTCAAGCTTATTTTTGCCTCAAACCTTTTTTGTTTCTGCAGGGAAACCCTCAATGCACCTGGATGCGATGCTATTCACATTACAGAAATTGAGGGAAACATTGAATGTGACACTTTCATCCCAGCTATTAATAATTCTGTATTTCAGCCATGGTACACATCTTTTCCATTGGTTGAGAATAAAATTCGATATTCATTCACCACTTATGTCCGGGTGAGGAATTCAGTAGTTACAAACTGTAATCCACCAAATGATGTGACTCCTCCTAGTAGCCCTGGTTCTGCTACGATTGGGTACAAAACGTTCACTTTCTTACCTAAAATGATTTTTGAGAGACATGAAGAATACAAGTATCTGAGACTTGTTGAAGACATAATTTCTAATGGCACCTTAAAGGATGATAGGACAGGGACTGGAACTCTGTCAATGTTTGGCTGTCAGGTATCGCAATTCTACATCATGCCGGGCTGGTAGATCTTGCTTTTAAAATATTATCTCGGACTGCTTTTATGTTATTATTGATGACTTGATGTTGTCTTTTGCTTTTTCACAGATGAGGTTCAATCTTCGAAAATCTTTTCCTCTCCTTACAACTAAGGCATGTTCTAGAATATCTTAAAAATTGCATAATGGACTAAAATGAATGGACCTTCTTACCATATCACTCGATATTCATGTATTCCTCACCTATTTCACAGAAGGTTTTTTGGCGAGGTGTCGTTGAGGAACTTTTGTGGTTTTTAAGTGGTTCAACAAATGCTAAGGTGACTCTTTTCTTTTCATTTTAATGTTTGGATAGTTCAGGTTGTATTCCTTATCCCTCTTTTCTTATCCTTAGATTTTATTATGTTATGTTGGCAGTTGCTACAGTGCATGTTTGATTTGTTATTTATCAAGTTGGTTGTTTATTTAGCCTTAACATTTAGCATCTACAGTTCTGATACACTTCTAATATTACAGGTTCTACAAGAAAAGGGGATTCATATATGGGATGGCAATGCATCTAGAGATTACCTTGACAGGCAATTACATGTTTTTTACTTCATTACTGGGCCTGATATTCTTTTGAAGCAATTCAATAAAAGTTTAGGAACTTATTTTTTTCTACTTCAGCATTGGTTTGACTGAGAGGGAAGAGGGTGACTTTGGACCAGTATATGGGTTCCAATGGAGACACTTTGGTGCTAGGTTGGCGAATCTTTTATGCGTTGCTGTTTCATGTCATGCTTACTTTGAAACCATAACTTCAATTTCACTTGGTTGAATTTTCATCACAGGTATACTGACATGCATGCTGACTATACTGGCCAAGGATTTGATCAGCTGATGGATGTTATCAGCAAAATAAAAAACAATCCTAATGATAGGCGGATTATACTTTCTGCTTGGAATCCTTCTGATCTCAAATTGATGGCACTTCCACCTTGTCATATGTTTGCACAAGTTAGTATAAGAACTGTTTTTCAAAGCATATGTTTGAAGACATTACAATGAAAGTTGTTTTTCGATGCTTCCATATATGTTCTCGTCTTCAGTTGTTCCTTTCATATTTCCTTTTGCAGTTTTATGTGGCCAACGGGGAGTTATCGTGTCAAATGTATCAACGCTCGGCTGATATGGGTCTTGGAGTGCCATTTAACATTGCATCGTATGCCTTGTTGACATGCATGATTGCTCATGTTTGTGGTATGCTTTCACGAAAATTTATGTTTACCATCAATCATTGTTGACGATTAAGTGAGTGTAGTTTTTTCTGTTTAGTGATTTTGAAGTATTATTTCTTATATTTTGGCTATGTATTGTTACACTTGACCACAATAATGCACATAAATAACGAAATATGTTAATGGTGTTACAGTGAGTATGGAGTCATAACTGAACAGTAATGTCCCTAGATCTAGTGAGACCGAAAAAGAGACTGAGAATACTGGGTTCTAGTTTCTGCAAATCACATTAATTTTGTAAAAAGTCTGAACCATGATTAATGCAGCTTCCTTGGAATTGATTTATTAAGTTGTTTTATGTTGGTACTTTTCTTCTGGCAATTTTCTCTTTGTAGCTTTTACCAAATTTGTTGGAAGTTGTTGCTATTGTTGTATTCTTTGGATACTCATACATGTATTCTCCATATATTCGAGTATTAATATGTATTATTTTCCTGAGTAGGTAGAATTTAGAATGGTAATAAGGAATTGCACCAATGCACAGGGATGAATCTGTTTGTCGCTTGCCTTGTGCAACATCAGACACAATCATTGTTTGTGAACATCCCTACATGTTTTAAGTATTTGCCTGTATTCAACATCAACATATATATTTGCCTACTCGCTGTCTGTTGATTACCTTCAGACTCAATGTCCAAATCCATGTACAGATCTTTCTCCGGGTGACTTTGTCCATGTGATTGGGGACGCTCATATTTATCGCACTCATGTCAGACCTCTGCAGGACCAGCTTCAGAAAAAACCTAGACCTTTTCCAGTGAGTATCATCTGTGTATAGCTAGGTGTTTAGAAATTAAGAAGGGGGAATGTAAAAGTTACTACCAAAAGAAGTGAAAAAACATGCTCAATGTCTCACCTTTTAAGTAAAAAAAGGTAGTTTTGAATAAGTAGTTATGAATAATTTAGTTTTGAAATAAACAATTTTTTTTAAAGCTTAGCCAAACATGCTCAATGTCTTTCACTTCCCTCGATCTAATTGATAATATAAATGAGCAGATGCTGAAGATCAATTCTGAGAAGAAGGATATTGATTCCTTTGATGCTGCTGATTTCGAGCTTATTGGGTATGATCCTCACGAGAAAATAGAAATGAAAATGGCAGTATAGTCATGCTGGTTTTCTTTTCAAGCGAGAAAGGAAGCATATAGAAACTGTTCTTTTCATCTTAATTTTGAGGTAAGTTCTCTACTCCTGTTTATAATTTGTATCATTTTGTAAGCGCTCTTCTGAACCAAAAATTTCCACATGTGCTGGTTTATTTATTCATTTATTTTTTGATTAAGTAGTATAAAGCACGTTTCAAATAACTATATTAAAATTTCACCTTGGAGTTGCATTTAGACGTGTTAAGTGCGCTTTGAAAGTAATATGTACATCAAAATTACTAGTACATGTTTGATGCATAGTATTGGACAAGTTTGAATACTACTATAGACAAAATTTTAGTTTCTTTTTTTATATTAAGGCACCGTTTGGTAA